AAAAAAAAAAAAAAAAAAGGAATATAATGAAGATCATCTCAGGCATTACAGAACAAGAATAAATGCCATAAGAAAAATGAGAAAAAAAGAATTATGAAAAGATATTGTATTTCTTCTTATGAAACTCTGATCTAACTTGGAATTGATAGCATTTTCTTATTTCTATAAATGAGAGAAGATTATGTTAATTCTTTTGATGTCCATAGAATGCTGTATAATAAAGAGCTTAAATTCCTAAAAAAAAAGACAACAAACACTAAATTATAAAGGGCACAGACTTTCTAAATTATAACCCAATCTCATTCTTATGCTAAGATTCCTTCTCTTTCTCCCAACTTAGATACAGCTCCCTCCGGCTTACTGCATCCTTCCTTTTCTCTTCCAGATACTAAACGAGTGCCTCCCCTATTCCTATGAATCCTCGGCCTTACTCAAACAACAGTAACCCCAATCTTACCACATTTTTTCCTGTCTACCCAGCTGGCCTAACTGAAGTCTTCATGCACCACTGAGCAGGGTGGTTTAACAATGAATATATAAGGATCCAGGCCAAATGATAACACCATTAAGTGAATCCCGTCTAAAGAAAGCACGACAGGTCCTTTCAACTGGAAAACACGAGTGCTTCTCCACAGTCATTGGCATGCAGAAGGCCATAACGTATGTTCAGTGGGGGAACATCTGGCAGCAAGATCAAAAACTTTGTACCACGTGTGTCACTTTCTACTTCTTTACTTAAATCTCAGTTTATGGACTATGGTTAATCAGAGAATTTATCTAACCAGGTGAAAGATTATCAAAAGTAGATGGATGCCAAATGGAAGAGATGGTAGGATTTTACTTTTAATAAAAGTAGCTCACTTTTGTGAAATTCATAGAGTAAAATTTCCCATACTGTACAGATAAAAATAAATTCTATCAGGGGTGAACTGAAGTATAAGGACAGGGCTAAATCTGTGACACAAAGATTATTACAATCAAAGTCTACAAAATAGTACAATTTTGAACTAGATCCAAATATAACTAAATGATTATTAGTTCTGTTCAAAGAAGGATGATAATGTAGCTGCCTTTCTCCATGTACAATTTCAGACAGTGGCATTAGCTGTATTAAGGAATGAGCAAGGGGAAAAGTGGACAGGGGAAAGTCAATTAGCACAGGCAGTGTACAAGATGGAAGGTTAAGGAGGTGTTAGTTTTAAGCTAAAATATTGAGGTTCCAGCTGGGTTAGATACTATTCTTAGAACATATGGTAGTGACACACCACAGAAGAATTCCATGTGAAGGCTGGAATATACAACAGAGCTTTGGATAGCCCTCAGAAGAGTAAATATTACTTAGAAAAAGTCTATTCCATACTAAGTTGTAGGTATTGTACTTTGTAAGGAAACTGTCCATTGTAATGAAAATGCATGCTCAAGTATCTCTAGAATTATAGGGTGACTTAGGTGTGAAATTGGGAGAATCCAGTTTGAGAAACTATATATTTTTTTTAAGTTATGGTAAAAAGACAAAAAAAATTAATTCTTCCACAACCCAAAACTGAAGGTAAACTGTTGTAATTCAATCCAGATTATTAAAAATTTAGGATAATTGTAGTTCCCAAGGTAACCACTAAGAAAATATCTTAAAAATACACCCAAAAGGAAGTGAGAAGGGAATCAGAACAGTACACAACAAAAAATCAATTAAACAAACAGACAAGAGTAATAAGGAAACAAGGGACAAAAAAAGCAGCATACAGAAGAATGGTGACTAGCATAAGCTCTTTCCTATTTATGAATACCTTAAACGTAAATGGATTTAAACTCTCCATCAAAAGGTAGAAACTAGCAGAATGGATTTAAAAGAAAGACCTAAACACTGTCTATAAGAGAATTGCTTTAGATAAAAGTATATAAATAGGTTGAAAGTGAAGAATGGAATGATATTTGATGAAAATAATAACCAGAAGAAAGCAGGGGTGTCTATACTAATAACAGGAGGCAAGATAGACTTTAAGTCAAAAATTGTTAAAAGAGATAAACAAGGACATCATATATTGATAAAAGTCAATTCATTAAGATGTAACATAAAGAAAGACACATCAGACAACAGAGTCCCCCAAAATATGAAGCAAATATTGACAGAACTAAAAAGAAAAATAGATAATTTTGCAATAATAGTTGAAACGTTCAATACCCCACTTTCAATTATGTATAGAATTAGACAGAAGATAAATGAGGAAAAAAAGGACTTATCACTATGAACCAACTAGATCTAACAGACATACACACACTCCAGCCAACAGCAGAATACACATTCTTCTGAAGTGTACCTGGGACATTCTCCAGGTTAGACCATATGATAGGCCACAAAAAGAATCCTCAATAAATTTAAAATAACTGAATCATACAAAAAAGCTTCTCTGACCACAGTGAAATGAAGGAAAACTGGATATTTTACAAATGTGGAAATTAAACAACATACTCTCAAACAACCAGTGGATCAAAAACATCTTGAAAGATATTAGAAAACACTTAAGAGAAAAGTGAAAACAAAAACACAATGTACGCAAACTTACAGAATGCAGCAACAGCAGCACTCAGAGGGAAATTTATAGTAGTAAATGCCTACACTAAAAAAGGTAGATCTCAAATCAGTAACCTGCTTTACACCTTAAGAAACTAAAATAAAAAATCAAAATCAGTAGTCACTACTGACTTTACAGAAATAAAATGGATTGTTAATAGAAAAACCATAAACAGGTATGTGCCAACAATTAGACGACCTGAAATACAAAAAGTCTGGACATACACAAGAAATATTAATACTCTCTTTGTTCACAGCTTTTTCTCCTGATAATTACATTTTTTAAGTCAATCCAGCAAAGTTTCAAAGATTTATACAAGTGAGAACCTCAACAGCTATAAATAGTTCTTCAAAACTTCTAAATGAAGCTGAAAGGAAAGAAAATAGAATAATTTCTCAGGGAACTTATTGGTGGCGTGGTAGGTGCTATTTCTCTGGATTCCTTTAAATCTACGGCTATAACATCATGACAGTGACCATTCTTGCAAATGCAAAACCTCATAAGGTTACACCTATACAGTGCCATACAAAATCTAGCTATCAGCATTTCTTGATCTGGGGGAAAATGTTCTTTTTCTTTCCCATCCATCACCCAGTAAATCTACTCTCCACCAAAACCATAATTCAAATAAATCAAGTACTTCCAACTTGATGATGGCAAATGATTTGGTTCACACCCCTAGGAACAAGGCAGGATATTCGTGCATTTAATATTTTATAAAAGCTACCAAGAATGATAATGAGTGGCATCAATATTAGCACTCAGTGCAATCATTTACCTTATTAAAATAAAAGGAACGGGAGTACTAGCAGCATACAGATCACTCAAGGGAACACAACTATTCAATATTCCATTCTAACATATTCTCCTTCCCATTCAAAAGCTTTAGGAGGGAAAGCCTCAGGCAGAACAGATGCATGTGTAAGTCTGCAGTGACACAGAAGCTTTGGATACCATGTTAAAACTCTACATTTAATTATATTTGTCATGTAAGCATATCTAAATAAGACAAATTAGGAAGGAGACTTGGTCTACCAATATGAAACATGTCTCAACTATTTCCTTTAAAAATATACTGAGAATAAGAATCCATACCAAAAACCGACCTTTAACATGGCAAAGAGGGGAGAGAAGACTCTGTACTTCTTTTAATGATATCCTTTACCTTGTAAGTTGTCATTCGATGCTGAGCAATTGTAGTCAGTTTTTCTAGAAGGCCTCGTAATCGCTCCTGTGTTGCATGGGAGATCAAGTTCACAGCATCGGAATTAAGTTCCGTAATGTCATGCTTTTTACCTGTGAAGGCAGAGAAAATCCATTACGTGTTTTAGCAGTGGCTGGTAATTGAAATAATTAGCTCAGCAGGTATTCTTTTCCCCCTGGAAGTCAGACCCATTATGAATAAAGGTTTGGAGATTATGATTTTCCTGGTAAAGTCACAACTTCAAAGATTTTAGACATTACATTAATAAAACCTAGCCTGGAGCCTCAGAAAATATAGACATTGTTTCACTTAGCCTCCAGAATCATTCTCCGTGCAAGGTCACTTATAGGACAAAGTTAATAAGAACACAAATCAAGCCTAGTGTTCAGGGAGGAAAATGGTAACTGCAGAAATTAGTGCCATATTCTGTTAATTTTAGTAATTAAAAAAATAGAAAATTACCTTTTACCCTGGTGACATTGCTAACAATATATATAACATTTATTTAAATGAATTCAGATTGTGAGTCTCTATTGCCTTGTCTACACGACACTCCTAGATGCTTTTTCACCATTATCAATCACGCTTATTTGTTCTAACTCATACTCGGATGGAAAGGTCTGGCAATTAATTTATAAGTTGAAATGGGTTCATAGCCTTGTCATTTTACCTATCTAAATGAATAGCTTCTCTTTCACTATACCTCCTTCTGTAAATAAACCACTCTTTTCAGCTAACCAGGAAGAAACTTTTAGGAAAACAATTTGGATCCCATACCCAAAGGCAGAGACTCATTTATAAATCAATCTTATCAGTACTTAAATAGTAATTCTCCAGCTCAGTGAAACCACCTGTATCAACAGAGACCTAAATCTAAGGATATAGGTAAATAGGTGGTCTAATTTAAATGGGCTTTTAATAGAGCTACTGTGTTTGTTTTACATAAACATATATACAGGAACTTTTCAGATACTGTTTATTTTTGTACTTTATTTGAAACATACTCATATACTGATCAAAGTAGGAATGAATATAGCAAAAATAAGCTTTAATCAAAAGCCAATAAATCTTAAGGTACATTCTTTGACAATATTCCATGATAAATGTTAAGCTTTAATTCAAAATGCAGACTATAGGCTATGAGGGCAATCTGGCTGTGACATCTGTCACCCCCTGACTGCCAGGTTTAATTCGGTTGATCTAGGTGGCTAGGCAAGTGTTTCCTTCCTCCTTCACCACTCCACGGGCATGTCTCCAGAAGCCACACGCTCAGTCGAAGAGGATGACCCTCTAATAGGAAGGTCTGTTATTCAGTCAAGGGTACTACAAAGTCAAATGTACTTAACTAAAACCATCAGCATAAAACAAATAGTAGGGCCTTCTACAGAAGTGACAGTACTATTTCAGAACAATCCAGTGATTATAATTACAACTAAACATAGCTGAGTAGAGGATGACATCCCATTTCAGCTTAAAGAAAATGAACATTTAAAAATATTTAGTGTTTTGGAAGGAAACTCTGCAAGTAATTTCACATGGATTTACAAAACAGATTAATTCATTCTGTATAAAAGAAAAATCCTTATTTTTTAAATATTAGAAGTAAGCAAATGCTGGGATTTGCAAACAATTCCAGGGCTCATGAATAATGAAATGCTCTAATATCTTCGCTAAGCTGACAACAACACATGACAAAGTTACAAAGTTAACTACTTTGTAAGACAAATTCCCACTTTTAAAGCACTCTCTTTAACAAAGTCAACAAAAAAAAATTATTTTGGTTAACTTATAATTTCTATTATAAGAATAGAATGGTCTTGGTTCTGAATGGTACTGTAAAGATGGAATTTTACTGTAAATGGAAAACATACCTAGAAATACAAAATTCCATTTTCTGGTTTTGTTTTCTTTTTAAAAGCTTAAATAATTCAATTAGTAAGAAGTTTTGCAATTTCCCATCATATTAAATGACAAGCTTGTGTTACATCATTAAGAACCGAAAATACAAATAGTTGACCCCAGAATTCTCCTTGAAAGCAGAGGCTGGCAAACTTAATCGGGTCTCTTTTTGTATATAAAGTTTGATGGGAATACAGTGTTGCCTGTTCGCTTAATACTGTCTACACCTGCTTCAGCAACATGACCGCAGAGCTGAGCAGCATGACCCACACCCACAGCCCACAGAGCAGCACATATTTACTGTCTAGCCCTTTGAGGAAAAAACTTGCCAGTATCTGTACTAAATGATCAAAAGTGTTCTTTGAATGCTAAATTTTTTCCTATCATATAACCAGGGTTTAAATCAAGTCAGGAATAAAGTTTGTAAGGAGGGGGGAGGAAGTTGATAAATTATTTAATTCTACTCTACCAAAGCTCTAGATAAGTAAATGGCTTCAAAGACTTAAAATAACAGAATTTCCCAAACTATCACAGAAGGTAGTGCTTAGGTTTCTTCCAAAATTAAAGAAGAGGATCCTATACAGAAGAAAACACAAAAGAGAAGAAGAAAACATGAGAGAAAGAGAGGAGGAAGAAATGGGGGGAAAAAAGACAAACAAAAAGCAAGCAAACAGCAAACACACATTTTACAATTAGCTCTTGGGCATTCCTATCTCTTAGACTATTTTTAAATTCTAAGTTTTCATGATAAAAGACAGATAATATAGACCCAAACTTAAAGATGAAAAAAGGTAGCAATTTGTATAGCATATAGTGGGAGCTCAAACATCTGTTACTCGAGTATTTTGTGAAGGAAGCTTAAAATATGTAATAATATATTTTGTAGTCCTTAAACATACCACAAACATATAAAAAATCAGCAACGTTCATTTTTGTGTTAGACCTTCAATATAAACTGTAGAATTTCTTTCTCAAGTATACTCAAAGGTCATTAGCATTGGCCCCCAGATCTGACATGAATGAAAGGGTGAATGAGGTGACTCTCATGCAACAACATCTCTCCAATCTCTTTGGTTAACTGGGGGAGTCTGTAGTGTTTCGCATTACTGTGAGTTTGGTATTAACAACAAAAAAAAATGTTTGGCTCCAAAACAGAACTGAAATGTTCTCTTTCATGTCTTCTTTCTAAGGCCAACCAAAAAGGAACAGGGCAGAAAAAAGAATAGTAGATCATATGTATGTATGCATATAAAAATACATATACTTATCCTCCCACAAAGAAAGGTGAATAAAATGTTAATTTTTATTATCTAAACAAAAAAATTACAGGTTATCTGACTTAAATTATGTTAACAGTTTTTAAAATAAACTACTGTAACACCGAGAAAATCTTGATTACTCCTAGAGCTTCACTTAAGCCTGAGAGTTCTCTTTTGGTAACATTTTCCCTGGAACAGACAATCCTATCAGGTCAATAATCATAAGCCTGCATTTACCAATGTCTAAAATTCTCCTTTGTAGAGCTCCAATGAAAAGAAATGGTTCGTCTTTACATGACTGAATTAGTGTGCCAACCAGTTCAGAGTTTGTTGCTAAGATGCAGGCATTTTCTTCACTGAGGCTGACCCCTGCCATGGAAGTCACATCGTTGATGTCATCTTCATCTCTAATAGGAAAAAAAAAAAAGAAAAGGTATCTTTTTAGTGGTAATGGTGGTGGTATATGTGTATGAATGATATGAGAGAAAAATAATTATAGATCTCTCCTTATAAGTAAAGACATTGTTATACTCAATTGATCTAAGCCAGAGGAAAACTGAAGAATGGTTATCTTTTCCTGGAAGCCTGTCAAATTAATTGGTGTCTCTAACCACTAGTGCACATTTAATATCAGAAAGATGAATCAGAAGCAACTTTGTCTTCTTGTGCCTATCTCTCAGTCTTGCAGGTTAGTAAAATGAGATATGCCAAAAGGAATCAGGTAATTAAACTAAGTTATGCACAAGTCCCTGCAATGAAAGACAAAGAAATGAAAGCAGACTTCTTTATTTTTATTCAAGATGATGAAAAGCCCCTAAGACTTCCCCAGGGCACTCCACTGCTCCACTGTGGAGCAGGAGAAAACCTCCAGTCCTGAAACGTCCATACCCACATAAAAGTCCTTTGACAGGCTTTCTTGACTATCTGTTCTGAAACCAAATGGTTAAAACTAGTTTTGTTTCTCTGCTTCAGACTTTTGGTATACTCCATCTGTACCAGTTGACTTCATTAAATCACATCCTCATGAAAATGGTAGCAGAGGGCCTATATATAAATATATATTATTATCTAAAGCAAAATTTAAAAAATCAGATTTAACTCCTAGCTGTTAAAATACCTTCACTAACTATACCTGTATCTATATCTATCTATACATATGTACTATTCATCCATAAATATATTATTTCTCTCTAAAATATGACTCTTAAAAAAAACTTTAACCATATAAACATGATCACATCTTAAAAAATTGACAGTTGTTTACTATCACCAAATAGCTAGTCAATTCAAATAAGGTTAATTATATAAACATGCAGAAGTATTGTTATATTTGTCACTTCTGATCTTATCTATGAAGAATAAAACATGAATCTCTGGCACCCTCTGGTGTTTAAGTAGTGTATAGCTTCCTTATCATCCCAGGTGTACAGACAAGCAGAACAGAAAATGATTTTCTTACTGAAAGAAGTCTCAAACCAAAAAAATTTTTTTTCAGATAAACAAGTAGTTCTGAAAAAATAGGCAGATAACACTCCATGATATTAAATCTCATCTAGTTAAGACCATATGTAATGGCCATACACTATTGCCTCTTCTTATTTAATAAGAGTCAACATCAAGGGTCTATTTTAATCTTCATTTTCATAACAGCTGGTGATACTGCTACTCAATATCCAAGAAAACAAGCTTAAATAAAAAAAGACATCACTAAAAAAAAGGCATAAATCCACATATGATCCAAATTACTAGAAACTATTACATAAAAATGAAGTATATCAGTGCAAAATGAAAGCTTTCTTTAAAAGAATAGCTAAGATTATAAATATTCCTGTTCTCATTTTCAAAATCACTACTTTAACAAATATCTGAATGCTTATTATGAACCAGGCATTGTCCTAATCACTTAGGTATACAATGGTGAACAGAAGTTACTGTAAACTCTCACAGAGACTTAAAGGAGTGAGAAACACAAGGAAGGGTACAGAAATAAATGGGTAATTGTAGGTAAGACAGCAGATGTGCCTGAAAAAGCTGCTTTACACTGGTGGCCAAGCAAAGACTCTCTGAGGAGGTAACTGAAACAAGATGGACCCAGCCATATAAAGACTGGGAATAGAGTCCAGGGAGTAGCATACTGAAAAGCCATACGGTGGGAACGTGATCAGTGTGTTTCAAAGAAGAGGAACAGGGAAAAGAAAACTAACACCGTGGAAATACCACACCAGCACAGGTCTGTCTGCTTTTGGTTTTCCTGAATATGAGATAATTTCCTATCTTGTTTATGCCACTGTTTTTCAGCTTTTCTCTTACCTACAACCTTTCTGAATTCTAACAAATATAATAACCATGGTTCAAGAAGATATTCATATTATAAAAATGTCAATTATCTCCCAAGTTAACCTAATCATATAATGTTAGTACAAAGTTTTCATAGAACGGCCCGGATAATTGTAAAATTTATATGTACAAACATAATTTTTCTTAAATAACATTTCAACACATGACATAATGTGGCTGAAAATTTGAAAGACTTCACAAGTCTTCACGCAAATAACTGAATAACAGAAAGTTAACAAGTCAAGTACCTTTGGTGAAAAAAGGAATAGAGAAGATTTACCCTATCAGCTATAAAAACAAATAATGAAGGTATAATAATTGAAAATACAAAAATATTAACATGGAAATATAATAAAAACATAGCAGTAAAATGAAATTCTAGAAATGTACCCTTGATAAATGAGAATTTGCTGTAAGAAAAAAGTGGCATTTCAAATCAGAAAGGTAAGGATGATGAATTCTTCAGTAATTACTGTTGAGATATTTCTGCTTCAGACATTTACAAAGATAAAATCAAGAATTATTTAGGACATAAAGGCGTATGTGCATATGTGAGGCGTGTATGTATAGGTCTCTTGGAAGAAAACACCGGAGCGCATCATTACGAGCTCAGGATAGAGAAGAGTAAGTAAAATAATAAATAAGCAGAGAATAATAAATAGAATAAGGCAAAATTCAAAAGCTATAAAGGAAGAGACTGATAATCTACTATTGTGATTTAAAATCTTCATTTAACAAAAGACGCTAAAAATAAAGTTACAAGTTAAACAAAAGATCTGGGGGAAAATGCACAAAAAAAAATTACTCTGTGCCTGCATATGTGTGTGCGTGTGTGTATACGTAAGTGTAGAAAGCAATAAGCACTGAAAAGATAAATAAGCAAAAGTAATAAGCTGGAAATTTCTCAAAGAAAATACTAATGGAGATACTTTTCCTTGAGGCAGTAAATGGACTAGAAAAACTAAGGAGTAAGTACTTGGATTTTCATAAGACATTTTCATTCCACTGCTGGGTGCACACAAGTTGTCAAAAAAGGTGCCAATAAAAATAAGCAGTGAGCATATTCCTAAGGTAGGACCACCTCAGGGGCAAATGCCCATGGCTAGCACTAGTTCCTGGGTCTCTGTTAAAGTTGAGAAATCGCTGGGTTAGCTTTGGTACCACTGAAAAAGAGCGAAAGTTGTTACAAATCAATAGACATCTCTGGTTCCTACAAGAAACACTCACAAATCCTCTCTGGAATAAAACCAACTCAGTTTAGGCCCTCATATCTAATTTGATTTACCCAATCAATATGATTTTAATTTCACCAGTTACATTTTTCACTTCTAAATGTCCTATTTGGTTCTTTCTCAAATCTTTCCATTCGTTTTATAATAGACAATTGTTACTTGATTGTGTGATTTCACATTTTATTTTTAGTCATTTTATAATAGTTTTAATACTGAATATTTGATCATCCAATATTTGAAATCATTGGAGTTCCAAATGTATTGCTTGTTTTCCTGCAGTTTAACTCAGGGTGAGTTTTCCTTATCTGTTTTATCTTCAAAACATCTGGCATACATGGATACCAGAAAACTATGGAATGACATTTTTAAAGTGTTTGAATGTAAAAAAAAACCAAAAAAACCCAAAAACCTCAATACATAATTCTAATATCACTCATGACATCATCACTGGCTACAGAAATAACCTAAAATAATCTAAAAATTGTCAGAAATAAGAATTAACAAGGTGGTTGGCATATGATTAAAAAAGTAGGGGGCGGAGCCAGGATGGCGGCGTGAGTAGAGCAGTGGAAATCTCCTCCCAAAAACACATAGAGCTATGAAAATATACCAAAGAAAAATCTTCCTAAAATAGAGACCACAGGACACAGGACAACATCCAGACCACATCCACACCTGCAAGAACCCAGCACCTTGCGAAGGGGGTAAGATACAAGCCCGGCCCGGCGGGACCTGAGCGCCCCTCCCCCCAGCTCCCAGCGGGTGGAAAGAAACGGGTGCTGTTTTTTTTTTGGCGAGTGCTTTTTGGAAGCCTTGAAGGGACGGGCCCCCATTGCTAGGGAGGCAGGGTGGCGGGACCGGTAACCAAGTGCCTGGGACCGGAGCCTGAGGACAAAGAATATCCCGCGTTTCTCCCTGTGGGACCGGCGGGCGGGTGCCTGAGACCGGCGCCTGAGGACGGAGGAAATCGCGCATTTTTCCCCTTTTTTTTTTTCTCTTTTTTGCGAGTGCTTTTTGGAAGCCTAAAAGGGACAGGGACCCCAGTGCTAAGGAGGCAGGGCGGCGGGACTGGTGAGCGGGTGCCTGGGACCGGCGCCTGAGGACAAAGAATATCGCGTGTTTTTCCCTGAGGGACCGGTGGGCGGGTGCCTGAGACCTGCACCTGAGGACAGAGGAAATCGCGCGTTTTTCCCCTTTTTTTCTCTCTTTTTGGCGCGTGCTTTTTGGAAACCTTAAAGGGACAGGGACCCTGGTGCTAGGGAGGCAGGGCGGCGGGACTGGTGAGCGGGTGCATGGGACCAGCGCCTGAGGACAAAGAATATCGAGCGTTCCTTCCCTGCGGGACCGGTGGGTGGGTGCTTTTTGGAAGCCTTGAAAGGACAGGGACCCTGGTGCTAGGGAGACAGGGCAGCAGGACTAGTGAGCGGGTGCCTGGGACCGGCACCTGAGGACAAAAAAAAAAAA